GAAGCTGTCCAATTAAGCGAGCAGAGATTGATTCCCTGTTTTATCGATTTAACGTTGAACATGTTCCATTCTCGTTTTTTTTCACAGGTTGATTGGGCCGGCCCGCTACGCACCGCGTGCGAGCGCCAGATGCGCTAGCCAGCACTTACAGGACGAACGGCCCAAGGCCTGCTAGGCAGCGGCTGTTGTTGATTGATAAGTATGGGCCGGCCACGTGATTGCAAAGTCCAAACACAAGGCATCGTTCGGTTTAATCTGAAAACCGAACCGAACAGGTCGGTTAACCGAAATTTCGGTTAGCTGTTTTTTTTTGTGTGTTTATTTCAGTTTTGATTTTTGCTAACCAAATTCACAAATAAACCGAACAGTAGAAACTGAAATTTCGGTTTCTACCGAATGCCCAGGTCTAGCGGCCCCTCCAGGATGTGGGAGGAGAGGACCGCCCCTCCGCATTATTTATGCAGATCGGGCGGTTTTTTCATCTTGAGATCGAAGAGAAGAAGAAATCCATGCTAATGTCATTCATGTCTCAAAATTTTAAGTGCAGCATTTACATGCATCATCATTCTAAAGAAAATAATGGCTAAGAAGCAAGTCTAAGACATGGTGCATCGTCAGAAACTAGCTAGAAGCAGCTACCGCTACTATTCCACTAGGCCCCTTGGATGACTGCTATGATGGAGCAATTTTGGTAGTGGCGAACCCTCTCAGCCTCCTTCGCCCCTTCCGAGAACGGAGTACACACATGACGTCCTCCGTCACCGCCGCAGCATCCCTAGGAGCTCGCCGACGACCGCTATGCCGAGTGCCTCAGGGGCACCTCGAAGCGCGCCACGTCAGCGCGACATTCAATACTACATATATACTCTCTCCGTTTCTAAATATAAGTCTTTTTACAGATTTCAATAAGGACTACATACGGATGTATATAGATATACTTTAGAATATAGATTCACTTATTTTGTTCCGTATGTAGTCCGCGTTGAAATCTCTAGAAAAAATTATATTTAGGAACGGAGGGAGTATACACGTACCTGCAAAGCGTAAAGCCAGCCAAGATGATATCAAATCAGGGTGCTTAATGCGTCCGTAATTAATTAACCAGGGCGCGTGCAAGTGCAAGGCTTCATGGGAACCACATTGCTTGTCAATGGAAGCGGAGACCACACACGCTCGCCACTTTGGGAACCACATATCTTCTCCATCGCCTTGCTTACTGACTGAATTACACGTTGCTTGCTGACTGACTAGAAGCCTTTTTGCCACACTGAAAGGTACTAGTAGAATGCAGAATGCACTTCACCAGGCCCCCCAATCATATCTTCTCCATCGCCCACAAATTCAGTCATTATTCAACAGATGGAACTGCACCGTCTCTAACCACCAGTTTCAGTCGCAATGCTAATTAAGCCAACCAGATCCTATGATTCTCAAGCAGTCAAATCTCAAGGGAATAAAGCGGCCAATGTAGCTCAAGAAAAAACTAAATGATCACAGGTTCAGAAACAAAAGGAGCTGCACACATGTCTAGTATACATACATGTGTGTCATCACATTCAGAGAGAGGTTTCCTTCTCAGTTCAGGATGGTCCAAATATTTGTGTCTGAAACCCAACTATAACAGGAAACATCACACTGCAAACGTCACGCATACATACGGAACCCAGTGAGTAGTCAACCCAACACACGGTAGAGGCGTATGCTTCACCTTGCAAACATGACGTACCTACCACACTTTCAGAGGATACAAATTAAGGCGGCTTCAGAACAGGTCTTGTTCTAGTCATGTGCTCATGTACCCATAACAAATACTCCCTCTGGAATAATGAACAAGTACTCCCGTATGCATCGCCCAGATGCAGAGGCCGGGGGTCATCCTCCTTTTCTAAAAAAAAAAAAGTAACATCCCATTCACAAGGCAAGAATGGGCCATAAACATGTGACATGCCGGAAATTGAACACATCATGTGCTAGACCGAGCACGAGCTTTTCAACTGAATGTTCACAGAGAATAGATTGATCAGGTGCATGAACAATAAACAATATCATGACACTCCAATCAAGAGAAGCACATCAAATATATGGCATATAATTGATCAGTGCTCACCGAAATTGTTCAGTCCCTGAATCTGGAACCCATTGTTGTATTCCTCGCACGTTGCCAGTAGCCATGTTTTCGACACACCTCTTGTTGGCTACGTGGTTCGGTATGGCAGCCGCAAATGATAAGAAAGCAGACCCATGCCTACCAATTGCAACTATAGGCTCCAGCATACACCAACATTTGGCCCCACTCCCCTGCCAACTTTTCTCAATGACAAGCACAGTTCACCGTCAAGACGTCCTTCCCCTGGCCTATAAATTCAGCAAGTGGCTCAGCTCAACACCATCACTTCTTCATCCGCTCATCCCTGCAACATCCATAGCTCACTTCTTCAGATCTCCAGCTGAAAATTCAAAGACCGAGAATCAACTATGGTCGGTGCCAAGAGACTTGCTCAATTGGCGAAGAAGTTGCAGAGGGTGGAAGCACTTGGGAGGAAGAGGCTCACGGTGTCAGCCAAAGAAGATGAAGACTGCTACAGTTCTGTACCAGCCAAGGGCCACTGTGTCATGTACACGGCTGATGGGGGGCATTTTGAGGTCCCGTTGGAGTACCTCAGCACGACGGTATTCGGTGAGCTCCTGAGGATGTCCCAGGAGGAGTTTGGCTTTGCGAGCGATGGCGGGATCAGACTGCCCTGTGATGCTGCAGTGATGGAGTATGCCATGTGCTTGCTCAGGAGAAAGGCCTCCGCCGAGGTCGAGAGTGCATTGCTGAGCTCTATGGTAACGTCTTGCCACTACACTGGCTGTGTGATGCCTACTGTTGGAGACAGCAACCAGATTTACTGTTTGTAGCTTCTGAAGAACATGCATTCAGGACCCTGATGATGTCTTCTGTCTTGTGTAGTTTGGCTGGATAGTGTAAGATAGTTAGACAGTAGAATTATTATTTTTTAACAAAAGACAGCAGAAACTAGGAGCAGGAAAATTGTATATATAGCAACTGATCAATAATGCAACAAAGCAGTATTATGGCCACCAGCAGTATGCATTGTTCTTTTTGGGGAAAACGCAAAAGCTTTGCGTTTCATTGTATTGAAGAGAAAGAGTGTTTTATGTTACAGTCCTCCTAGGAGGCGAATTACAGTCAGGGGACACGAGCTAGTGCACGTCCCAGGTCGGGGGCAAGACTACTCTGAGCCCAGCAGCGCCTGCCGTAGCCCAAAGTTTGGCCTCCTCCTTGATGCCGTGAACTAGCGTCCGGATGGAAGGGCGTGCGTCGTTGAAGACGCAATCGTTGCGATGCTTCCAGATCATCCAGGAGGTAAGAAGTGTCGCGGATGCCAGCCCCTTGCGCATCGCCTTGGGCGTGACCTGCCGGGCATCATGCCACCAATCAAAGAGGGTAGCCTCGTTGCTCGGGGGCCTGCAAGTCATGCGCATCCAGGAGAGGATCTCGGACCAGATGTGCCTCGAGAAGGAACACCCAAGGAGGATACATTTCAGTTCCGTACAAGTGTACAATATACCAACAATGGTTGCAATTATTTTTAGGCATCGGTAGTTCCATCCTGCTCCACAACAAGTTTCTGTACAATCTATCATCTAAGCCAAGGCATTAAAAACTTGTGAATCATTGAAATGATCAGGTGGTACAGGAACCATTTTAATGATGAATCCTCTAGAAAAGTATTGCAATGACATCAATCCAATAGAAATGAAGTATGATAACAAAAACAAAATGGAATAGAAAGCAGGGTTTACTCCACAAGTTTTAATGGGCATAAGGAAGATTTCAATTATTGGGGTAAAAGCAAGTGATGGTTAACTGTCAAGCAAGAACTGGCTGTTTGCAGCTCCGTATGTTTATGTGTTAGTAAAGTAGTCGGACAGAGATAGAAGGGAAATGGAAATTGTGCTTCTCTTAGTGTTCATGAAATCATTGGCATTCTTCCCGCTTCCACTTGAGAAATTGCTATGTAAAGCCTTTTCAATCTTGCAAGGCTGTAACGAATCTAGCAGAAACCTGTTAACCCAGCACCTACAGTCAATCTTTTTTCTTCTGATTTTCTTTTGAACCTATCTGAACGAAAAATGTATTCAATTTGCATAAAAAAAATAATGAACAGATACCCTCTTTTAAATGCCAGTAAAAATCATGTTATAGCACAGTATAACCATGTTAAGTGTTTATCTACTTTTGGGGTAATGCCTACAAAACAAAAGATCAAAAGCAGAGTATCAGAGATATGTATGATGTCCTAATTTCTTCAGAAAGGTGAATACTTTATATCCAAATTAAACTTGGATTATTTGGTTTCTTGAATTACATAAAGCAGATCGACTTGCTCATCTTTTCTGTAACTACAGACCTAACCTAACCAAATTTGATCTCTTTGCTATGAGATTACTCCAGTCTGGAATTCCCACCGGAGTATGGAGGAGGTGCTCGAGCAAGCAAGATGCCACCGAGCACACCCACACAGAGGCTAGCTGCGTATCGGACATCACACGCCAGCGGCAGTTCAAGCGTCCATCTCCGAGGCAGGTCTACGTGGAGCACGTTCTCTCCAAAATCTTATAAACAGCTCACACAATGTCAAATTGTCAATCCGATGGTCCTTGCTAGAGGTAGGAAAGGCAGCTCGTTGATCGTTCATCTCTCCCCTTCGCCGGCGCTGTTGCCGAGTTCCATCATTCACACCCCCTGCTTTTAGCCGCTGCACCCACAATTCACCTCAAGAACTTTGAGCAGAATGTTGAAGGATGTGTCACATAATCCAAAAAAAATCCCAGAAAAATTGTCTCTTCTGTATCATTTCCTGTGATGATCGAATCTTACATCAGACTATAGATCTCCTCAGTCCTAACCGAAACAGTATTTCAGAAACTAAGCTAGTAGCTAAGTACAAAGAGCAAACTGACGGGTGATTCCCATTGATGGGGCCATGCAACTAGCATTGTAGTTGTGACAGTGCCCAGCAATGGAGCTCAAGAACGCCTTCTCGACCTCCTCGGAGGCCTCTTTCCTGACCAGGCACAAGACATACTCCCATCACCGTGGCGTCGCAGGGCAGCATGATCCTGCCTCCGTCGCCGCCACTCGTGAAGCCAAACTCCTCCTCGGACATCCTCAGGAGCTCAGCGAACACCGTCGTCCCGAGGTATGCCAGAGGGACCTCGAACCGTGCTCCATCGGTGGTGTACATCACGCAGTGGCCCTCATCAGCAGCCACAGATGCTGTACTGCAGCATTCATCATCGGCCGTGTCTGAGGCATGCCGGCGGCGGGCACCGGCTCCAGCTGCCAACATCCGTTGGCACTTCTTGACGAGCTGAGCAAGCTTCTTTGGATGGATCATAGCTGGCTAAATTTCACTTTGGCTCTGGAAGTCTGAATGTGTGTTGTAGATTGTTTTTTTTTACTATAAACAGTAGGGTAAAACCCCACTGCAATTTTTATAAATTAAGAGAGCAAAGTAACAAAAAGTCTGAAAGGCTTGAGGTAAGCCCAAAGAGCAGAAATGAGATGAAGAAGCTGTGTTTAGCAGGTCATGGATTTATAGTAGAACGAACAACAAAGAGGGCTAAGGGAAGTGCATATGCGTGTAGGTTGTGTGTAGCTATCAGTGAGAGCGTTGTGTTGATGTAGCTGCAGAAAATGTGATGAATGTGCTTGTGGCTAGAGAGCCCCATGGGGTCCTCGTGCTCGTGCCATTTCCCCAGGAAACCGGTCACCATGGCTGTGCAGGTGGGACGTCCATCGCAAGCTCCAGCAAGTGCCAAACACTTGGCCCCAGCAGACCTGATCCAGATCACATCACGGCACCTCCAAAACTGCAACAGCGCATGTGCCATACACATGGCATTGTCTCCTGCCAAACCATCACACATACACCATATGTGGGTACTCCTTCACTCTTCAGCTATAAATCCATGGCTAGTGACCACCAAACACCACCACTTCATCCACAGAGAAAGGCATTCCAACCTCCAACTAGCAGAAGAATGTCTCCAGTTCCAGAAACACAAGAAACTACCATAATGAGTGCCACGACACTCGCTCGGCTGGCCAAGAAGTGGCAGAGGGTGGCGGCTATCGGGAGGAAGAGGCTCACCTGGTCGCCATCAATGTCCACAGAAGAAGCCAGAAGGCCGTGCGGCACGTCGTGCTCGTCAGTGGCCGGCAAGGGCCAATGCGTCGTGTATGCTGCCGATGGTGCCCATTGTGTTCCTTGGAACGACCATCTTCGGTGAGTTCTTGAGGATGTCCCAGGAGGAGTTCGGCTTCGCAGGAGTTGACAGTGACAGAATCACACTTCCCTGCGATGCATCGGTGATGGAGTATGCCATCTGCTTGCTCAGGAGAAGCGCCTCCGCAGACATAGAGGCCGCGTTCCTCAACACCATGGCGATGCCATGCCACTATCATGTGGCCCAACATTTGGGAGTTGGCCAACATTTCGGTGTCTGCTGCTCCTGATTACCATCTGCAGAGATATAGGAAAATAGACTAAGGAAAACAGTTTGTGTAGCATTTTGATCTTTCTAGCATAGAAGCAATCAAGGAAGATGGACAGTAGTTAGATACATTACTCTTCAGTGTATGCATATACTTTGTTTCAAAAATAAATGATTAATCACAGTTTTTAGGATCTAAGCATTAAGCGTCGACAGAAAAAATTGCAATTAAATGGCCTCAGACACAAGTTATTACAAAGAAAGTTTAGGTTGCGCAGGTAAGTCCTGGCAGATAGATTAGAGAGGTGACCTTTGGACAAAGGCTACTGCAAGTTGTTCAACTGATGACAGATTCATCAAATTATACTCAAGTCAGGACCAGCAAACCTACTAGCGTTCAGAAATCGGGTCTGTCATGCAGTATAAACTCATCATGATTTGTACTTGGCAAATAAATTTCCATGCTATGTTTGTGTCATAGATGTCCTCATCAGGATGCTCACTTCCCCAAAAGAAATACCAACATGGAACTAATGACAAGCCCTTGGATAGGTTCAAGGCTGTGACCTAGAAACCCTCAACTGCCCAGTTAAATGCAAGGAACATACTGGAAAAATGGTTGACACATGCTATGCTAGAAACCATGCAGACCGTGTGTGGACAATGAGTTATGTAGCTGCCCAGCAACTTGCCAGATCTGTAGCAATCAAAGCACTGTTAAACTAACAAACACCTAACATACAGCTGCAGTTGTAAGTGCAAAGTACACACCCAAAAGCAATGAAGTGAACTCCGCATGTGCCTGTGAAAGGCTCCTGGACCATCATGTGCCATGTCCCCTCTGATGCTAGCTTTTCACCAAAGTGTGGTGAGCTGATGAGAATCCGTGAAGCCAATGCAGAGCAGTCTCTAGCACATGAGGAATGGAGATCCGGAATTGGCCACTTCCGGCAATGACACATACTACCTCTAACCAAAACTTATGAACTGCTCAACCCACCTCCATCTGGGACACACAGTCTCAATCCAACGTTTATAGTTGGAGGTAGGAACAGCAGTTCTATTTTTAGTAAACAATCAGCAGTTTGTTCATTGTCCATCAATCCTCTCATCCCCAACCCCTTCGCAGCACCATCACCGAGTTCAGCCACCTAACCACAAACTTTAAGTCCATGGTTTCCTTCTACTTCCTTCACTAGAATATATATGAACTATGTTCAAGGATGTGTAAAACAATCCAACTTCTCCCAAAAAAATTGTCCCTTTGTATCATTTCCTGTGATCATTGAATCTTACATGAGGCTCTCTACAGAGCTCCTCTCAGTCCTAATTAAAAATATTTCAGAAGCTAAGCTAGTAGCTAAGTACAAAGAGCAAACTGATGGCCGAGTCCCATTGATGGTATCATGCAGCTAGCATTGTAGTTGTGCCAATGCCCAACAATGGAGCTCAAGAACGCCTCTCAACCTCCTCAGGGGCCTCTCTCCTGACCAGGCACAAGACATATTCCATCACACTGGCATCGCAGGTCAGCATGATCCTGCCTCCATCACTGCTGCTCACGAAGCCAAACTCCTCCTCAGACATCCTCAGGAGCTCAGCGAAGACCGTAGTCCCGAGGTACGCCAGAGGGACCTCCAACCAGGTTCCGTCTGCGGTGTACATCACGCAGTGGCCCTCATCGGCAACCACAGATGACACTGTGCTGCAGCACTCGTCGTCGGCCGTGTCTGAGGCAGGCCGATGGCGGGCACCGGCTCTGGCCACCAACATCCGCTGACACTTCTTGGCCAGCTGAGCAAGCTTCCTTGGATGGGTCATGGTTGAGTCGGATGTGTTCCCGGCTGGCTAAATTTCACTTTGGCTCTGGAAGTCTGAAGGTGTGTTGTAGATTGTGATGCTGCTTGAGATGAGATGAAGTTTGTGCTGAGAAGGCCATGGATTTATAGTATAAGGAAGAAAGGACTCAGGGCAGTGCATATGTGTGTGGGTAGTGTGTAGCTCTCAGCAAGAGCATTGGAAAGGGGACAATGCCATGAGTGCTCTGTGTGCAATGTTCAGACACCAAACGTGATGATGATTTTGATGAGACTTCCAAGCGCCATCCATGTCTGAAATGTGCTTCTGGTTAGAGAAGCACATGGGGTCCTCGTGCTTGTGCCATTCCCTAGCAAACCGATCACCACGGCTGTGCAGGCGAGTTTTCCAACGCAAGCTCCAGGAAGTGCCAAACACTTGGGCCCAGCAGACCTGATCCAGATCACACCATGGCACCTCCAAAACCGCAGCACTGCACGTACCCTACCCATTGCATACCATCACAGTCCACCGTGTCGGCGCCAGCTTTACCCTTGGACTATAAATCCATGGCTAAATGCTCTCCTAACACCACCACTTCATCCACAGACAAAAGGCATTCCAGCCTTGAACTAGCAGAACAATTTCTCCAGTTTCCAGAAACACAAGAAACTACCATGATGAGTACCAAGAACCTCGCTCAGCTGGCCAAGAAGTGGCAGAGGGTGGTGGCTATGGGGAGGAAGAGGCTCACCTCATCAACATCAGGGGAGGAAACCGGAGGGCCGTGTGGCACGTCGTGCTCGCCTGTGGCTGGCAAGGGCCACTTCGTCGTGTACACTACCGACGGTGCAAGGTTCGAGGTGCCGCTTGCGTTCCTTGGCACGACCGTCTTCGACGAGCTCCTGAGGATGTCCCAAGAGGAGTTCGGCTTCACAGGCGTTGATGGTGGCAGAATCACGCTGCCCTGTGACGCATCAATGATGGAGTACGCCATGTGCTTGCTCAGGAGAAATGCGTCCTCAGAGATGGAGGCTGCATTCCTCAACACCATGGCGATGCCATGCCACTATCATGTGGAGCCACATCTCGGAGTTAGCCAGCATTATGGTGTCTGCAGCTCCTGATTACCATCTGCAGAGATATAGGAAAATAGATTAAGGAAAACACATTGTGTGTAAGCATTTTGATCTTGCTGGCAAAGAAGCAATCAAGGAAGATGGACCATAGTTAGAGACATTGTTCTTTCAATGTATGCATATACTTTGTTCCAAAGACAAATATTCGATCACGATTTTTTAGGGCCTAAGCAGTAAGCGTCGACAAATTCCTTTGCAATTGTATGGCCTCAGACCCAAAATATTATGAAGAAAGTTATTCAGCCGACAACCCATGATAGAGTATATGCAGCTGGAGATGGGATGTGACCTTTTGGACAAAGGCTACTGCAAGTTGTTAAACCGATGATAAAATCACCAAATGTTCAAAAATCGGGTATGTCCTGCAGAATAAACTCATCAAGATTTGTGCTTGGCAAAACAAAATTTCATGCTATGCTTGTGTCATGGAAGTCAAAGTAAATCATCAGGCAAGGCCAGGTTCATTGTCTAATAAAGACTAACAAATAAGCCTTGCATTGTGACTCACATTACAGCGCTCACTTCCTCAAAAGATATACCAAAGCAAAACTAATCACAAGTCACTGGATAGATTCAAGGATATATGCGTGGCCTGGAAACTCTCAAATTCCCAGCTAAATGCAAGGAAGATACCGGAAAATGGCTGACACGTGCTATGCTAGAAACCATGCAGACCATGGGTGGACAATGAGATATGGAACTTCCCAGCAACCTGCCAGATCTGAAGCAATCAAATCACTGTTAAACCAGCAAACACCTAACATGCAGCTGCAACTGTAAGTGCAAAGTAGACACCCGAAAGCAGTGAAGTGAACTCCGCATCTGCCTGTGAAAGGCTCCCGGACCATCATGTGCTATGTCCCTTATGATGCTAGCTCTGTACCTCACCTAATTGCAATCACGCAGTTGAAGCAAAGGCACAGATATAGGTCATCAGAACATTAAAGTGATTGTTTTTGAATCAGCATATCTTCCAATCTCTTGATATAGAGTGCTGAACAAAAAAGAGCACATCCCTAAATACTGGACCCTGGATGGTTGCAAAATGCATCTACCGAGTTAAGCATCAAGGACTGTACTACTGTAGTATGCATCTGAGTGCCTAGCAAGTAGTCCACTACCTTTGCCTATACAGAAAGCCATGGCCCAGCAAAATCTGATCTGAATCTGGCAGCACCATTGCATGCACCAAGCTCATGGCCTTGTCCCCTGCCAAATGCAAATTAGTCATATGTCTGTGCCTATATATTCATGGGCTACATAGTAGTACACCACCACTTCATCAACAAACTCACAGATAAAGAATTTCTAAGCAACATACCTAAGAACCAAGAACACACAAGCATGGCCATTATCTGAATATCACTGCCTCCCTTGGGAGCCACCATTGCACTCACCAAGCTCATGACCTCCTCACCTGCCAAACACTATTAATGTGCAAGCAAAGCACCAGAACCACACTGGCGAGGTATGGCACGGACATGTTGCCTGCTGACCGACTAGTCCCTTCTTCCCTCCAAGCAAAAAAGAAAAACAAATTTGAGACTAGTCCTTTCGCTGCCTTTTTGCACTGACAGGTGCAACCCACTTCACCAGCCTCCCCCTGTGGCCCCCTCCAGTCCCATCTTTCCGTTGCCTGCAAATTCAGTCAATGGAACAGATTAACTGCACCATGTCTACCAAAAAAATGATATCTAAAAATACATACAAGTTCAGAGCCAAAAGGAGAATTAGTACACATGTATGTCATGACATTCTTAATTAGAGAGAGGTTTCCTTTTCAGGATCATCTGTATTTAGTCCAAAAAGTTGTGCCTGAGAAACCCAACTATGACTGGAAACATCACATTGAAATTGTTATGCATGAATACGGAACCCCAGAGTCAACTCAACACACATCAGAGACATCTGCTTCAGCTTCAAATTAGTATATAGTGGTCTGATTCTAGCCATATGCTCCTGTACCCAAAAGAAATAGAAGGCAAGAATGAACAGTAAACATGTGGCATGCCGCATATCAAACGGATGATCTGCTAGACCAAGCATGGCTTTTCGACTGAATGTCAGCAGAAAATAGATTGATCAGGTGCATGAACAATGCACGTTACAATGTCAAGTATCTGCCAGGAGAAAGCACAGAGATAGCCTAATCGATCAGGGCTTACCGAACTGTTCGATCCCTGAATCTGGAAGCCATCACTGTTCCCTCCTAGCACATTGCCAATAGCCTGTTCTCGACATGTCTATTGTTCGCTACACAGCTTGGTATGGCATCCACGAATGGTAAGAAAGCGGACCAATGCCTAACAGTTACGACTATAGGCTCCAGCATACACCAAACATTTGGCCCCACTGCAATCTAATCCAAACTAATCATTTTGCAACACTGCATGCACCGATCCCATGGCCTTGTCCCCTGCCAACTTTTCTCAATGACAAGCACAGTTCACAGTCAAGATGTCCTTCCCCTGGCCTATAAATTCAGCAAGCGTCTAGCTCAACACCATCACCTCTTCATCAGCTCATCCACCAACTGAGCACTGCAACATCCATATCACACACTTCTTCAAATTCTCACAAAGATAGAGAGCCAACCATGGCCGGTGCCAAAAGACTTGCACAATTGGCAAATAAGTGGAGGGTTGAAGCACTTGGGAGGAAGAGGCTCACAATGTCAACCAAAGAAGACCAAGACTGCTGCAGTTCTATACCGGCCAAGGGCCACTGTGTCATGTACACAGCCGATGGGAGGCGTTTCGAGGTCCCGTTGGAGTACCTCAGCACGATGGTCTTCGGCGAGCTCCTAAGGATGTCTCAGGAGGAATTTGGCTTTGCAAGCGATGGGAAGATCACACTGCCTTGTGATGCCGGGGTGATGGAGTATGTCATGTCCCTGCTTAGGAGAAACGCCACTGCCGGCGTCGAGAGTACATTGCTGAGCTCTATGGTGACATCTTGCCACTACACTGGCCATATGATGCCTACTGTTGGAGCTAGTCAACAAATTTGTTGTTTGTAGCTTCTGAAGAATATGAATGCAGAGACCCTGATGTTGCCTTCTGTTTTTTTGTAGTTTGCCTGGATAGTGTAAGATAGTTAGATAAGAGACACTAGGAGATGTTTTCTGTATGTATTCATAAAAGCAACAAAGCAGCATTCTGGCAACTAGCAATTGCAGGCTTGCAGCCATACTTCTCTTGCATTTTAGTTGCATACAACTGTCCAGTGACCCAACAAGGTTGCAACTATTTTTAGATGTTGATAGTTTCATACTGCTGCTAGGAGAATTCGCAAGAAGTTTCTATACAACCTATATCATCCAAGTCAGACAATAAAAATGATCTACAAAATTGTTAATTAGTGAAACGACAAGGTGGAAGAGCAGCCGTTTTCAATGGTGAACTCTCAGGGGGGAAATATAAGGCATACAAAAACTAGGATAAAAACACAAAATGAACAGAAAGCAGGTTTATTTGTGAGTATAAGGCAATCCACAAAACTTTAAAGAAGGTAGTAGGAACTAGGCCTGAAAGACGTGCAATAACAAGTGTATCGTGTCGGTGCAAGGATTTGGTACATGTCTGTTACTCACAATCTGCAGACATGCAGCTGGTTGAAGCACCAAAGGAAGGTGCATAGAAAGAGCTAAGGAATAGCTTCCAGATGTTAGTCTGGTAGGTATGACACTGGTTTGGTTCTAGTCATGTACTCCATGTGAGATATGAAATGCAAGAAGAAACAGCCACCATGTAAGATGCTGAAAATCAATCAGACATTCAGACCACATGCTAGACCAGCACAAGCTTTAAATGGATGTTCATAACTCCTGTTAGAGATCCATGAAGCACTTTGTCGATCTCGGGGGCCACTCTATAAGCTTCTTATCATTAGGATATAATCAAGCACAAAAAAACGAATTATACCTCTTTGCACGATCACAAACAGAAATGGACCGAATTTACAGGTGGTCCTCACTCATATGTCTCTTGTGCATATATCTTAGCCACTGCTAGAAACAGGTCAGTATGGCAGCAAATTTGAGATGGCCAAACATCCAAAGCAAGCAAGCACTCCTAGTACCGCCAGTCCCAAACCGATGGCCCAAGAAAGATCAACTCAAGACCACATTGCTTGGCCCTGCCCATGCAGGCAGCACTGCATGTTATGAGCCCATGGCTCTGTCTATGCCTGTTCTAGAAACGTCTCCTATTCGCTACACGGTTAGGTATGGCAGCCACGATAGGTAAGAAACCAAACCAATTACGACCATAGGATCCGGCATACACCAAACATTTGGCCACACAGCAATCTAATCGAAACTAATCATATGCTGCAACACTGCATGCACTGATCACATGGCCTTGTCCCTTGGCAACTCTTCTCGGTGAGAACCACACAGTTCACCATCACGGTATCCTTCCCTTGGCCTATAAATTCAGAAAGTGGCTAGCTCAACACCATCACTTCATCAGCTCATCCACCAACTGAGCACTGCAACATCCATAGCACATACTTCTTTATATCCTCACAAAGATCGACAACCAACCATGGCCAGTGCCAAAAGACTTGCGCAATCTTTTAATTGCATACAACTGTCCAATGAACAAACAATGGTTGTGATTCTATCTTTAGATGTTTCTCTACAATCTATCAGCTAAGTCAGGGAATTAAAAGATCCAAAAATATTGAATTAGT